GCACAACATATATTTCCCTTGTTTATATCATTGGACTTAGACACTTAGTAATAGTTAGTGACACATTTTTCTAGTTATAACTTGCTTTAAGGAATCCCCCAATCCCTGTGGAGACGATCTCACTCACTACTATATTATTTGCATCGATTGTGTATACTTGTACATATTTGCATGCCATATAACACACATTTACACGCGATCACCTAGTCCCTAGTTTGAACAGTTGTGTCTACAGGATGTGTGTATATTGTCAATGCTTAAGAAAAATTTTGAACGAATACTACCTTATAATCACATATTATAAAACAATTCGAACACATTCGAAATATAACTTGAAATAAATCTTCTGTACTAATTTAAGACCTAAATGACATATATCAATACCATATTGACTACTCAGGTCAAAAAGGGTTATGTTAACTACTTGTTACCATGATAGCAAAACCATTGGTTAAAGCAATCATTTATCTAAGTCCAAAAGATTTACTAGTATATTTTTTTGGGATAAATTGTTGTGTATATTATCTAAAGAAGAAGCAGTAACCTACTACAATCAACAAGGTACTCACACCAAAGAACCAAAACATCCTTTTAAACTAACCCCAACTATCACAAAGTTTCCTATTTACATCATCTTCTTTACCAATCTTCCTATGAACAAGTATGACTCTCACTAACTCACAAATATTATAAAGTATAGTCTTTCAATCTTTAGCAATTTTCTTAAATTGTCTACCATTTCTTTCTTCCCAAACATAATAGATTAATGCATTCTGAGCAATCGTAAGGATAAAAGAGAGAAGATATTTACCCTTAAGAAATAGCATGGTCCAGTTCAGCTCCTCGCATCTCTTGGAAGGTAACAAAGCAATAAAACACCTTCTCAGATTTTCCAAGCAAACCAACATTCAAAGAACAAATGGTTTTTGGTTTTTAATCCATCACAAAAAACACATCCTCCCTCCACCTCAATCCCCATATTCAAGAGTTTATTCTTTGTGGGATGCCTTCTCAAAATGACCATCCACCCAATAATGGAGTGCTTAGGAATGTGCAAGGGAAACCATAGTAATTTATGCCATCCAACCTTATCCCCTCTAGACCGAACCAAATCCCATATCCACACCTTACAAGGCAGGTAATATGAGCGGAGAAATTAAAATCAAAATCATTATGGCGTACGTCAAGTCATGAAAACTAATTATAACCAACGGTTCAAGCTTTCAACTTTGGGCATCAATTATAGTGACAACATTTTCGAACATTCAATTCACCTCGTTCGTTGATGATTTTGTCCTTTGCAATCACTAACAAAATACCTATAAATCTTGGTGGCTGATCTCAGAAAATGGACTGTGTTCATAATTCAATGCCGTCGCCAATATATCGTTGCATGCTTCAAGCTCAATAAATTCTCACTTCATAAAGTTCCATTTTGGGCTGCTTTGAGTGACACTAGTTTTAGCATGGGCCAAAATCATTGAGATACCTTTGTCAAACAATGTGTTGGGCCATTAATCCAAAGAGAGAGGGAGAAGCAATGTGTTGGATGCAAATATTGATGTCGGCTTTCTGGTTCTTTGATGATAAAAAAAAAATATGTATTCATTAATCAAAAGGGTATTTCATATTTAGGGGGTTTTACTTTTGAATAAATGAAAGAGATGTTTAAGACTTGGTGTGTCCAACACTTGCCATCGCCAACTCACAGTGGCCTACTTTTGAGTGATTAGGAAATCACACAGAATCTTCGAGGGAAATCTGGGTATAAGTTTGTTTGTTATTTTGGGGTAAACTACATTATTCATCATTAAGTTATGATTTTATTTCTATTCTAGTCACTAAAAAGTTCAATTAAGATAGCAAGATAGAAAATTTATTATTGATGGTAGTAATATGTGTTATGTCGACTATAAATAATTCACCCCTTTTGATTTAGACAAATAATTATAATCGTTTATCTTGTGGGTATTCAAAATGATAAAAAAAACCTTGAAAATGGAGAAAAAGAATCTTAGAGAATAAGAAATATAGAGAAAGAATGACCTCTTCTCCTTGTGCTTTGAGGCTTTCATACTTTTCCTTGGTACATATAAGAATCGAGTTTAATATAGGTGTCAGGTATAGAATAATGATTAATATCAATATGTTGACAAAGTGAATTGACGAGACTATCTCGTGATAGAATTTATCGATGATAATTTTGACAATAATCAAATCAAAATTTAAAAGATAACAATGGTTAGTTAAATGAAAAAATTGAAATTGTTCTGCTCCAAATAACTCTTAAAATTTTAAAGGTATTAACGATAAGAGGGTGTACAACATATTTAAGTCACTCATCTATGAATACTTAACCATAATGATAATACAGTCATTTTTATTGATATAATAACCTATTTAATTTTTAACTTATATACATTTTATTAATTTTATCATAATTTTAACCGTTTCAAAATCAAATCAACACTTTTTATTTATAAATTTTATAAATTTAAAATTAAGACTAAACTAAAAGATGTACACATATAAAGAGTTAAATTTATTATTATATGAATTAAAAAAAATCAGTGATTTGAGTGATAAATTTGATGACGTTAATGCCTTAATTAATTTGATTGGTATAGTGACCAAAGAAAAACACAGTCATAATTCAGTGGTGAAGAAAGTAATTTAGCTTTGTTTATTTGTCCCAACCAGTAGAAATAGCGTGCTCCATCGCGGGATTGACGAATGGCATGGATTATAAGGATTGGCAGGTAGGGCACGGCTATTAGGCCCCTGATATTTTGTTATAGACTCGAAGGATGTTGGCGTTCGTCAAAAGCGTAATTTGAGGGCCTTTCCCATTTCGCAGGTTCTAACAGCTGGAACCCCCCCCCCCCCCAATTCCTCCTCCTTCAGATGCCTGGTCGGCGCCTTAACACAACCTTATCCTTACCATATTCATATTTTTGTGCGTCGACAAATAAGATAGCATCGTTTAGAAAAATGTATATACTTGTTACTTTTGACCACCAAATACATAAATAGATTAATGGGTCATGTTTCACTCCCAACAGTTTCAGCAATGAACCCATTCTCCTCTATCTACCCTACAATTTCCTCCATCCAACGGTCTGTAATAATTAAAAAAGCGATGAAGCAAAAATCGATAATGAAAGGTCTGGCCAGTTACATGTGCGAAACTCTGACTCTTGACCGACTGCCCCTTTTTTATTTTCTCTTTATCTATCTATTTGTGCAGCCTTCATGTGGATGGGTAGTACGACAGTCTGCACTTGTTTTATTTTCACCCAATGACTCAGCTCGGCTCTCCTTGTCTCTCCAAGCCAGCCGCCAACAACATCCTTCTTACACGGTTCCTACGACTCGAATATTTATGTTACTTTTTGTATTACTTTTGTATATAAATGTCTTGTTTTTTTCTTCTTTCGGAGATGTTTGCATTACCGTTTCGTATATACCAACCAGATCAGCCATTATTATGAAAATTGATTCACCTTTAAGATTATGTTAATCCATCCATCCCATGTGTATGCTTTGTGTCACAGAAAAGTTTTTCTTTAAATAAAGTTTAAATTCTGTATATTTGGAATTTATTTTATATATTTAGATTTGATCATTAACAGTAAAATAACAATACAAATACATAATTAATATAATCATTAAAGTATCTACAAATTAGAGTACCGAAATGAAAGTGGGTTAAGCGTACAAGTTTATCTAAAATTGGCTCCATATACGGATATATACTGTCATTATCAGCCCATTCTACAGCGTCCCAAACACCACTAGGTGCCAAGAGATGAGTCCATTGCCAAAATTAAATATAAATCAAACAAATAAGTGTCTTAAAAGAGAAGACGCTGCTCAATAATATACAATATCTAGTTTTTAACCTTAAAAAAATTGTAAGAGCTTTGACCAGATACCTACGGTAGTCCAAAGCAGTTAGTATGGGCCAGGTTTTACGATTATTTACTCCTAATAGATTTGGTCCATTTTGCTTAGTATTTTTTTAATAAAATTTTAGATTAGTTTTATATAAAAACCAGATTATTTACCATTGTTATTTTATCTGTATATCTACGTGTAAACATTTAAAAATAAATTTTATCTTAAAATCATTCGTACTATTAAAAATAAATTACCCTGTTTCTATAAAAAAATATCCCTAATTATATGTTAAATCCAGCGAATCTGACTACCTTATTTACTCTTTTACTTCTCTCTCCTCGCTTGTAGCCCATAATTATCCTTTCCTTTTACCATTATAAACGCCGCTGACCACGCTTTGACGCTCACCATAATTTTCTCTGTCTTCAATTCCGTTATTTAATTTTTAAATTTAAAATTTAAACAAAAAAAATAGGATGTTAGACGAAATTATTATTTATTTATTGTTTGAATCATACAGGGGCAAATTTGGGAGTTTTGATTCTGTTTATATAAAAGAAAAAACAATGGGTGGCTAACTGTTTAACTGCTCCCCATCCTGAATAATTTATTACTAATTATCCAAAATAATAAATTAAAGAAAGAAAGTAAAAAAGATTGAGGCAGAAAGATTTGGCCCATCCATCAATACAAGTGCTGTTTTTTTCGGTTAAGGGAAAATAGCTGCAGACGAAGACGAAGCCAAACAGAACAACAAACAGGAAAAAACCCCAGAATTTCTCAAGGTGATATGATTTAACGAATGGTATCTCAAGGACCCACAAATGCTTGAAACAGAACATGCAAACACTCGAGAAAGAGAGGAAATAAATAAATAAATATATTGATGGTTGGATACAGCGAAGCAGATGATAAAGAGTCCCCCACCCTTCTCCTCTCCCAGCACGCTGATTTGTAATAACAAATAATAATAATATATGTATGTATGTAAGTGTATGTTCAAGAGAGAGAGAAAGTATTGTAAAAGAAAAGTTTGGGTCTTTGGTTTTTCATTGGACAACCTTGCCTACTACTGCCGTGCCCGTGGGTACCCATTAGCAGCTTTTTTTTTTCTCATTCTGCAATTCATATTAATCATTTTTCTTTCTTTTTCTCTCGTTCGGTTCTGTTATAGCTTGTAATAGGTAGGTGTATTATATATATTTATATGTAAAGTTTCTTTTTTTTTTCCAAAAAAATCAGCTTTCTTAACAGTAAAGATTTTCTCGTTAGGGGTATCGTTGCTGTGGAATCTGAGACGTTTTGGTGGTGAAAAAGTGGCAGTTATCATTATTAAAACATTAGAAAAACAACAGCAGCTAGAAGAAGAAGAAGAAGAAGGTCATCGCCAAAAGAACAAAAAGAGGATACACGCTATTGCTGCTGCACGAGTGGTTGAGGAAGAAGGGCACAGAGAAACAAGCCTTGGGCTTTGATTGATTTGATCACCTATCCTTTTTCCCCCTGTTTTTTTTTTGTAAAGTCTGTGTCGATATTTTCTCCTATGTCTCAACCAAGGCAATTCCACATGGTGGGTGGTAACAATCCAGGGCAGTTCAATAACACGACGTTTACGAAAATATTTGTTGGTGGATTGGCTTGGGAAACTCAAAGGGATACCATGAGGCGTTATTTTGAGCAATTTGGAGAGATTCTTGAGGCTGTTGTGATCACAGATAAGAATACCGGGAGATCCAAGGGTTATGGCTTTGTAAGCTTATTTGATCCTTTTTTATTAACAAAGCTTCGTTTGTTTCCTTTGTTATTCATGCTATGAATTTTTCATCTTTTTGTTTCCAGGTTACGTTTAAAGATCCAGAGGCAGCCATGAGAGCATGTCAAAACCCTTCACCTGTCATCGATGGAAGGCGAGCAAACTGCAATCTCGCTGCATTGGGTGCTCAAAAGACTCGTCCACCAATTTCTCTACATGGTTCCTTTCTTCCCTTCACATTTCTTTGCTAGCAAATGTTGAAAAAAAAAAACCATTTTTTTTTTGTATACTGGGGAAGCATTTTCATCTTGGTTAGGATCTAATGAAATGAAATGCAGATCTGAAACACCAGAGGTTTACGGTAAATTTAATTTAGGAAGACCAATTAAATGCAGGGGCAGGACGGTTTAGACCAGCACCTGGTCCTGGATTGATGGCACCACCTGGCTACCAAGTTTCGTCTTCAACTTATATCCAACATCAACCAACTGGTCAATATTCAATTCCTTACTCATCTTATGGGTGAGTCACTGAGTTCAACATTGTAGAAATTGGAATTCTATAGCTTTTGTTTTTAACTTGCAATATTCATTCTCCATTTGTTTACTTTCAGATATACTGGATATTCACAAGAAGGCATTTATCCTTTGGTTAGTGTTTACAGAATGACATCTCAAATCAGTTTCTTGACATTGCTTCAGCTGAATTCAATATTGTTTTGCAGAACTACTATAACCTCTATGGAGGTCAACAGTTTTCGCCTTACTACACCGCCGCCGGGGCATCGATGACACCGGGGATGTTTCATAATTTGTACCCATTTTATGCTCAATATGCACAAAGTATTCAAGCTCATGGTTTCGGAACTCAATTCCCGCAAATCGTACAATATCCTTATGTACCTCAGCATTATAGCTCAACCGGTATGCTATCCGTTCCATCTTCAACGTCCATGGCAGCAACTACCACAGGTGATTGTTTCATATAGCTTCTAAATACATTTATAGAGTACTTGTACTTTAGCTGGCAACCAGATAATCTTTTGGTTTATAAGTGTTTTCAATGCAAAATGCATTTATAGATTTTAACCATCAAACAATATCTGCAGCAGGTATTGCAGCAACAATTGCAGAAACCACAGCAGTAACAACGACAACACCACCGCGAACAGCAACAGCACCTACAACAACAACCGGGTAGTGGGAGCAGTACCAGGTCCATCACAAGCTCCCGAGATCCCACCCGAAAAGAAACCACCATGTTAGTTTGCCGTTGATGTATGCGGTGTCAATGGAGAGCTTTCGAAAGGAGCATAAAGAAAGAGGAAACATTTGATCAACTAGCATAACAAAAAACGGAACTCAGGAACTTCCAGACAGGGGGATTGGAATGGGTGTTTCATACATAAACTTAGTTCTACTAACCGTCTACAATTCATTCTCGGTAGGATTGTTTTATTACCGTCATCATCATCATCATCTTGAGACAGCAATTCATCACACATGTTTGGTCTTAAGGAGAATAGGGAGTCGTTTAATTACATTGTTTAGGCTTAGGAGAACAATATCATATTCATTCATGTATTTGCATGAGGTGGAAACCAAATATTGGCTTTGGATTCCACCTTAGACACTAATTACTAGATGACTCTGTCTCGGTTGCAGAGAGCATCCGATGTTCATATTTGTAGCAAAGTGGTTCAAAAGATGGATTTTGTATCTTTGAACCCCGAGTTTATTTATTGGTCAAAGGCAAAAGGGGGGAGCTCGGATAGATCACCTATTAACGTGTAATTGGTTTTCTCCTTTTTCATTATTCATGATCGGTATATTTATTGTTTTTCAAAGGTAGGGTTAAGATAATAAGACGGTATTAACACATGATCATCTATTTTGTGTTTCAACTTTCACTTTCGATGTGTACTCTCTTTATTTGATGTATCAAGTCTTTGCCCTTTCTCCACTTTTGGGGTTCGACGCCGTGCATAGGTGCATGTGATTTTGGAATCCAAGGGGAATGGCATCTCTCATATGGCAAAAGGTTGTCCATGCTTCTTTTTTCAGTCAAGACATGCATGCTGCTTGTATGTACAGGGATGGGTATTTTATTTGGATTTGATGGTTCCAACCGATTTTTTTTATTAATAATATATTTTTATTTTTTAAATTTTTACAAAATCGTACTCTGAAGTTTTATAAATTCCACTTAATATAAAATTTTAAGTCTATCTTAATTGTAAAATTAAATTTGTATTAATACTTGTGAATAAATTTAAGAAAAAGAATTATATATATATATATATTAGAATTTAAATCAAATGAAATTAGATAAATGTATTCACGACATCAGAGAAGTTAATTACAATATTTACACCGATATATGAAACTTGTATGGAATAAGATAAACCAAAGTCTTATTTTACATCCCCTCATTTTCTTTACAAATTAATTTAAATAAGTAATAAAACAAATGAAATTTTACATTTTATCATATCACATCATATAATATGAATGAATGAATATTTCATATAAGAAATATATTTATAAAAATTTATATAAATGATCTTTATTAAACACGAATTTAATTTCTGAATATGTGATTTATTATTTATTTTAATTAATATTATACAAAGAAAAATATTACTATAATTTGTTTTTTGGTAAAACAGAAAAAATGAACAAACGACTAGTAGTTAACTCGCCTCATGCAAGTCAGTCTGCAAAACAGATTCTAACTCAATAGCCTGAGAAATATTACTATAATATTTATTATCTTTTTTAGGGTGAATATATGTCACACGTCACACATCGTAATATATCATTAAAGCGACGTATTAAAATGTATTATTTGTTAAATTGTTCTTATTAAGTAAATAGTAAAGATAAATTATATGTTTAATACTTACACTATCATTTTTGTTTCATTTTAGTGACTAAACTTTATTTTTTCCAAAAAACATTAACGATAATGTGATGTGAGATAACATGTTAATTTTTTTATTTATATTTTTTAATTAATTTTATTTAACCAATTAATTTTATTTAACAAATTAAATGTGACATGTGTCACCAATTACTAGAACAAAATAAAAGAAATTATTCTTGCTCTTAGCATGAATTGAACTTAAGACTCTTACATGAAATGTAAGACATTGAATTAAACTAATCATTCATAATAATTTTATCATATTTTCTATTTAACTTATATAATGATATCACCACAAATTCAATACTTTTTGATAATTATTAAATTCGAATATGTGATACTTTAAATTAATGATCAAAAAATTTAGTCATTCAACTATAATGTGAATCTATTTTTTTATTAAATTAAAGAGTAATTTTTTTACTTTATTTGGAAATAAAAAAATAATTAAATAAATACTTTTATGTATTTATAAAATTTATATTAAATTATTCTAAAAAGTTTATTTATAATATTATAAAAATATTTTAAAATGTTTATTTATTTTTTTAAATCATATTATCTATTTGAAATAATATTATTTTTAAATTATCTATTTAATTTTAAATAATTTAAATTTAGGGTAAATTATACGTTTATTGTCTAACTATTACTTTGGTTCCGTATAATATTATTTAAAATTAAATAGATAATTTAAAAATAATATTATTTCAAATAAATAATTAATTGTATTTTAAAATATAAATAAATATTTTTATAATATTATAAATATAAGTTTTATAATTATTTCATATAATTTCTATAAAAAAAACAAATGAATTATTTAATTATTATTTTTTATTTCTAAATAGAGTGAAAAAATAACTTTAAATTTAATAATAATACAAGTGAGTATTAAATTCAGTATAATAAAAAAATTCTTACTATAGTTGAGTGATTAAGTTTTCGGTGATTAATTTAAAGTGCCCCGGTTTCCGTAATTGCGTCCGATGCAGCCGTTTCCGGAGATGGTGCTGCCGCTGCTGCTCCGCCTCCTGCTGAGGAAAAGGTGGGACCAAAAGTTGCAAATTAATACGAGAATCTTATCTAGTTCGTTTCTGATATTTGATTTGTTCGGTAATTTTGCAGGAAGAACCCGAGGAATCAAGTGATGGAGATATGGGATTTGGTTTGTTCGATTAGGATGGGTTGATTACTGGTTCATTGCACTAAGCTGCGACAGTATCACGTTTTGGTATATGCACTTCTGTTTCAGTGAAGTGACAATAAGCAGTTGTGTAGTCGAATCTTCTTATATAAATAAGCATTGTAGAACAATCTTTTTACATTTATCACCCAGTGTTGTGCTTTATTCATTGCATGGTTAGTAGTTTTTTTATGCTATTGCTGGCATCTCTTGATTTGATTCCACTCAAACTTTAACCAACATACAAAAACATGATAGATTTGACCGGGTAATTAAGATCAAAGTTGAGTGAAACTGCGGTAATTCTCCATTACATTGACATTCCAAGACAAACTACGCTTTGCAAAGGACATTGTACTCATCCATCGCCAACTCCTGCCTGGTTGGAATTGGCCTTATCTAGTTGAAACCGATGGAACATATTTAAACCCTACGCCCACTTCCCATGCTACAAGGCCATATCTCTTTATTTGAATCCAATCCAATTTTAGTTTCATTGTTTTCCTTTCAGTTAGATGACTATATGAAAAAGGTTCAAATCTACCGTACAACCTTATTTATTTACGAGTAAAATTTGATTTAATTTGACTTGAGAATATTCCATTTGAATTGATTTTAAGTTATAATTTCGTAAATTCAACTAAAAAAAATTAAATTTGAATTGAGTTGTAAAATATAAATCAAATGATAACTCAAATTTTTTATTAATTAGTTAATTGATTTTTATGTTTGAATCGATTATCTCAACTTTGTATGATATATGTATATCACAAAATACGAAATATATATATATGTATTATATATAGTTATAAAAAACCATTTAAATTGGAATCAAATAATAACATAATATTATAAATATTAACAATTAAAATTAAACATAAACTCAAAAATTCGATTCGATTTAAAAAAAAATTCAAATAACTTTAACTTGTAAAGTAATATCCATCAACTTGAATAACTCCAAAAAAAATTTAAGTCGACTCGAATAAATCAAATATTTATCCCTAAACTTATATGCAAAATCATACAAAGCTGTTAATGTCGCCAAACTGAAAACTTTACAAAGACTTCAATAACCCTAATTCTTATCTTAAATTAGAACATTGGTTTTATTCGGATAATAATAAACGACATCGTTTAAGAACATGAATTGTGGCATACATTCCGACGTAGGGGTATAAATGAGTCGAGTCGATCGAGTATTGCTGAGTTTGACCTAACTCGAAAACTCGCGAGCTTAAAATTTTCAAGCTCGACTCGAACTCAAAATCCTGAACTAAAGCTCGTGAGCAGCTCGAAATGAATTTTTTTCTCTTAAACTTAACTCGATTGAAACTTCAAACTCGAACCTAAACCTTAAATACATGAAAATCTACTGTATTTTTAAAAAAAAATCAATACATAAATATTAATATTTGAAGACACTAGTTTTTTTTTTGTTTTTTTTTCATTTGTTTTATTTATTATTATTAATTTGTTTTATTATTATTATTATATTATATTATTATTATGAAATAAATAATTAATTTTATTTATTATTATAGGCCCAAATCAGAGAAGCCCAACCCGAACTAGCCCAAGTTTGGAAACCCTAAACAGATTAGGGTTCCATCTTCTTCTCCAGCCGCCTTGATTTTCCACCGTCAGATCAAGGCAGATCCAAGGGTCCAAAGTTCTCCAACAAAAACCCTAGGGTTATGATAACCCTAGGGACTACAGCCGCCGCTGCCTCCAGAACAGCCACGTTTCCAGCCGACTCTTCAGCTACCACGCGGTGCCACATCTGCCATTGCCGTGTCCAGCCGTTGCCATGACACCATTGAGGATTCCAGAAGTCAGCTGCCCCCCACACGTCGATGCCCCAGGGTGAGTCACCACACAGTTCGGTGACTCACCAAAATCCACTCTTGGGACCGGTCCGAGACAAGCTCCGACGAGGCTATAAAACAACCATCACCTGCAAGATAAAGAGAGGGGAGCAACCAAGACACAGAGCAAAGAAAGAAAAAAAAACGGAGAGGAGAACAAGGAAGCCAGGAAGCCAAACAGCCACCAAAATCCATCAAATATCAAAATAAAAAATAGAGAGATACTTACCGAGGAAGCCACGCCATCACCGGCGTTCCCACGCACCCATACGAGCCACCGTTAAAATCGAAATACCAAAGGTATTTCTTTAGATTTGCGAAAAATACATAGCTTTTTAGGATAAACGAGGGTCAGATTTGGGTTGAGATCACTCGGATCTATATTTTGGGGAAATTTTGTGTTTTCCGGCCAAAGGCGGCGGTGGCCGGCGGCGGTGGTCGACGGTACCGGAGCACGGCTGCCGGCCGATGGTCTCCCTCTCTGTTTTAGAGAGAAGGCAGAGCTTCTCTCTCCTAGAGAGAGAAGCTGAAATGGAAAAATGAAAGAAATGGCTCAAGGGAGCCGATTTTTAGGGTATTTATAGGGTATTTTATACCCTCATCAAAACGGCGTCGTTTTGATGAGGGGTCTGGGTGTAATTTCAAAATAGTTAAAATAAACGCATAGTCATCTGAAGTTTATAAACTTTCATTTTTGCCACTGAAATCAATTTATGAACATATTAATATTATCTTCGAATTTTATTTTATTCTATTTTAATCATTATCTGTATATTTACATGCTTAAGGTAAAATACCATGATTAATCCTTTTAATTTTAAACAAATTTAATTTTAGTCTCATATAATTATATAGGTTAAATTATACTGATAATATTTAGGCTTTATGGTATTCGAATAATGTCCCTTAATTTTGACATTTTATAAATTAATCACTAATTTTTATAAATTCTCAACGTTGACTATGAATTTATATGAATATGATTTAATTGTTTTAATTTAAATTATCTTTGTTTTTAATACTTTCCCAAATTTATTGTCAATTAACTATTCATAACAGATTAATTCACCTTTAATGTTTCATTTTCCTTAATTATTTGTAATCTTGATGT